TTTCCCTCCATTACCCCCTAGGTAATGAACCTGATACTGTACACAGTCCTGTGAGCTGTTCTGATGAAGGAGCCAGAGATGGATAGGGGATTGTGCTTGTTACTGAGGTGGGGGCAAGGGATGTACTCGTACCCACAAGCAGTGATGCCTAACGGTTGCTTGGCAATCCTCCCATCTCTCCCTCTAAATTGAGAAGAAAATCTTGAGTTTCTAAGCAACATGCACAGGCCCTTTTATCCCTGGAGCCCCACTTTCACGGACTTCAGTGCTTATACTAGCAAGCCCATAAGCAACCAGCAGGATGGTGCAGAGGGTGTAATGCACACCAAATCACCCCAGCCCTGCTGGTTCTGTGCCAGGGACCAGATGTACATGTTGCAGTTGCAGGGAGGGGCTGATTCCACTTCAGTGCCCAGACCCAGCACGTTGGCACTTGGCCCATTTCTCCCCAGCAATGACTGTCAGTAACCATGGAGATTAGAGATTTCCAGCTGCCCCGGTGTCAAATTTATGGTTGGGGGGGAAATCCTATTCCTCTGATGAGGGGTTTTTAGGAAATGGGCAATCTGCTGCCGACTCCCTGCGCCAGGGGAAGAGTTGTGAAGAGCATTGTATTTCTAAAACTCCTACTAGTCTGCGGCCCACGAAAAACTCAACCAAAGGCTCCAGAGGTTTGCAGAGAATCCTGTGGGTAGGAGATGGAATCATGACACTTTTAGAGGCAGCTGGATGTGCGCATGTGAATGTGAGATGTACATGTGTACATCATGCCTTACCAGGTATGTCAGAGGTACATGTGTCTGTGCGCTGTACATGCATGTCATTAATGTACACAAACACCTGCCCTTAATTAAGCAGCTCCTGCACTGACCCTGTGTGAGCCATGTGGCCTCCAAATTAATATTATTTATTAGATGTGCATGCTCCCTTCCCCAAAAGAGGCTCAGGACAGCTTACAATAAAAACCAGATACAGTATGAAGACAAATAAAAATGTTAAACTAAAATAATACATAATTGAAAAAAAACTCCCAAGACAATAGCCCAGAATGCAACCCCACCTACTGCAGTCCTGCCTAAATTAAGAGGTCTTCCAACTTCCAAATGATCCGGCTTGGGCTCTGACAGAGCACTAGGGGAAATTAATTACTATCCACACCACAACCTGTTTTCAGCAGTCCAGCTATAAACAAAGGGCAGCAGGGAAATCGCCTTCTTGTAGAGTCAGTGCCATACTCATGAAGAGGTACCCCTACTCTCTGGCAGGATTATTCCCTTGTTGGGTGAGGGCCATGCTCTTATAGGACATCTTAAAATCTGAGTCTGCATGCAGTGGATTGTCTTTTGTGTGAGTTTTGAGGTAAAGATGCCATATGCAAACAGCTGAAGAAATGCACCTGGGTTTATGT